CTTGGGAGGATTAAAAAAAAAAAAAAAAAAAAAAAAGGGTACAGATGCTTGCTGAATGCAACCAACTGCTGTATCCACAGCTGAATTCAATGCGCTTAACAAATAACGGCAATTTAGCTATGCTTGCAAGGAATAGCTTGAGTCACTTTGCATTAGCATCTGGCTGAGTGTTAAACTCATTTCTACATGGGGAGCAGAGAAAAGGAATTTCTGTTCAAGCATCCTTTCAAGAATGTTTAAATATTTGAATATAAATTCCTTTATGCTTGCTATCAGTCCTTCTTAGAGCTGTCACTTTGCTCTCCCCCTTCCCTTCTGGTGCTCAGCTATAAAAATGTTGTGCCCTTCTCACTGCACCAATGTCGCACTTCTTATGTTGGAAGACCGCGAGGGATGGGATACTGACCCCTGCTTTGCTCTCCCCTCTGGTGACAGAATAGAATAGAAAGCATTTCTCCATCGGAAATTTTTGCCCATGGGAGGACCAGAGAAAAAGCACTTGTGACAGGATCTCCATACACGTCACCTTCACCATACAGAAGCTAGCTTCTTAGTGCTGATGATACCAAATTCCATGTAAAACCTGGGAAACCACAAAGCTGTCCAAACTGGAAGCCTGCTTGTTTCTGGACAATTCTGCTTGACTCATCAGCCTTTCATAATGATTACTTTTCAAGATATTGCTAAGTAGCTGATCATTTTTCCTCTTATCAACAGTATCTTATTTATCTGCAGAATTACAAAGAAGGAATTTGGGAACACTGACATTTCAATTCGAACTGTATGAAATATCACCAAAAGAAGTACATCATGCTGAGATTTCTATAATAACTTACAACATATTTTTTGGATAAAATACAATGCATACTTAGACAATAGAGCCTGAAATCATTATATGTCAGACAAATTCAGAAGTTTCACTGCTTTAAGTATAAGAACGTCAAAGTTTTTACAAGCACCTTTGTTTTGTGATAATTTTGAGTTTTCCAGTCATGCAGTCACCTAGCACTTGACAGTACTTTGCATTGGAAACACATTATGACAAGCTCAGGATCCTAAATACTTAGAATATGAGCATGGGTATCATCCAAGCTTATGCTGATTAAAGAAGATTCAGCATTTTCAAATCCAGCTCATCCCCAAATACAAGTTAAGCATCTCTGTAAGGCAAAACTTTCACTCAGACTCAGATATTTCAAATGCCATTTCGTTTTAATATAAAACTGGTGGCATAAAAGGGGATATTTATTGTCAATAAGGTTTGGAGATGGATAAAGAGAATTATAACTCTTCCCATTTCCAGATGGCTTTGATTAAGATGGGCATGAGAGCTACTGTATTGATGGAAGGAAGAAGGAAGAGAATCATCCTTCTGAGGATGGTAAGAAGATGAAAAGGTTTTCACAAAAGCATTCAGGCACCTTAAGCATTTCTGGAAAGTACATTATTTTATAAACTAACCTTTTCTGTCCGGCAGTTATTGAGACCTAGACTATTCACAACAGCCACCTTGCCATCAAGCACCTGCTGTTCCCGCCGAAGTTGCTCCTTCATCTGCCGAGCTTCTTGGATTGCCTTGGTGACAGCATCGTGGTCATTTAAATAGCCTGGAAATAAGACAGATGACAGGTTATGTTTTGCACAAATGCACAGAGAAGCTACCTTTGAACCACAGAAACCACTCCTTTCTCTGAGTAATGGCTAATGCCTGGCATATAATAATTTTTCCATGGAATTTTCTAAAATGAGGGAGTGAACTTTTGATGATGGCTGATTAACACAGTCATTCAAAAACATGTTTCCAAACATCTGTAATAAAAACATAACATTTAGATGAAATATGGTTGTTTCTAGATACTCAGAAGGGAGTTTAAACTATAATTTTTAAGTAAATTTCTAGCTATCTGAACATCTTGTACTGAAAAATAAAACCTATGTTTGTTATTTTTCATGCAAGGGACATTTGAATGTTACCATAGGACATAGGCACTGATAATGATGGTTATGATGATTGAATTTCATAGTATTAGAAAGGTCAATTTAGGGTTCATATATAGCACTACTAGATTTGTTATGTGCAGAAGAAATACAACATTATTAACTGATTGAAAGAAGAGTATTTTCCCCAAAATCTATTTATGATGAAACGAACCACAGGTGGCAGAGGTTTTCTATGGATACAGACTTAACACTAGTTAAGAGGCTAAATTTCCAGCACAGAATGTAACCAAGTACCTGTAATTGTTTGATAAGAAATTGTGACCACTGTTGACTGTAGTGACACTTAATTCACACTATTAATAAGAGAGTCAAATGACCAGCTTGTGTTTGCAGCCCAAAAACCCTAAGTTAGTAAAAATATTTATTTCAAAGGGAAACAGGGACAAGAAGCAAAAGTGATTTTTAACTTTACTGTAATGTGTACACTGGTCATTTACTTATTTGATGCACATTACTATGATGATCTGCATGATCTTAGGACAGAATACTAATGGGGACGTCTGTTTTGCAAATATTTAAAAGAAAGCTAATATCTTATCGATTCTATCTTTTAACTAGGCCATAAAATGGCATAAAATGAATCTGTAATATGAAATTGCCCAGAAAAGGGACTTGTTTGTGACATGAGGCTAAATCTAACCAGATCCATTGGTGAATTGTGACAGATGGAGGGACTGTGAGACAGAAGGCAGGCACTAATCACACATAAAATGACCGGCTTGCCTCAACATGTTCCATGGATTCCAGCAAACTTTACACCCTAATCCATTTTTAGAACAAAAAACATCTGGGCCATAAATCCTCTAATCTGCCAAAACACGCTATTAAATCCCATGATTTGTTGAAAAACACTAAGATTAAAGAAAGGAAATATAAAATGGCTAACTGCCGTGTTAGGAAAGTGTTATTAATACTCTTTCTTTGTCTCAATTATGAATGTTCTGGTACTAAAGAGCCTTGTCTAATCACGTCAGATTACACATCCTCACTGTATTGCTAGACTCTTCTATCTGATCTGCTGATTGCCAAAAAAACACAGAATATTTTTTTCCTGCTTAAATATTTCTATTGAAGAAACCGATGTCGGATTAGTGCAGTGCTTTGGTGCCGGAGGGTTTCTACGTGATCTGTTCCTTTTCTCCCCTTACTATGCAGAGACTAGACCTGGTCCTCTGAGCTGTTCAAGGCAGAGAGAGAAGTTTCACTGCAGGTGACAGAAAAGGGAACCTTGAGGACTCTTACATATTTTGCGTTTCAGAGCTCATTTAATGGCTCTTATTCAAAGAACAAAACATCCTTGCCCATTAGAGACATCCTATGAATTGAAAACAACTATTTAGATCTAGGACAGATCCTTAGGGTTAATATATGCTACAAAAAATGGTTAAGAGGTCAGACGTGATGCAGCAGTAAGGAAGTACTGTGATGTTGGACCTGCATGGGCAGACTCAGGTTCACTTACTGAGGCCTCCCTGTACACACTGGTGCGCATGCGTCTGTGGTGCAGGCCAGCGGAGGCTGGGAATGGATTGTGGAGTGAAAACTCCATTGGGGATGTCGATCTTATTTCTTTGTCTCTGTCTCTCTCATCAAAGCAATAAACAAACTGAACTTACTATTTTAAAAAGTGGTTGTATATAACCTTAGATTATACTCAACCTCCTGACTTTGTTCTTATATTATTTCTGAACTTATTCTGCTAATGAACAATATTTTTCTAGAAAGAAATACAGCTTTTATATGACAGTGGTGGTCTTAGTATATATGGATTTAGCAAGATCTTAAGAAGATCCGCCTGATTTTTCTATCCCCTTACCCTTGGTTCATATGACCTGGCAGCATGCATTTCAGCAGTCCGTTTAGCTCCTCCTCAGTGTAGTTTGCTTGTACACAACACAAATACATTCAAAATGGCTTAGTACATGGCACTGAATAAAAGGATACATTCTTTATGCTGTTTAGGGGCTGCCAAGATAACATCGTTGTAGGAAAAACAATTATCATAGATGCAAGAGGAATATGAATGATTATCTGGTGAATAACTGATACACCAATGTTCTCCAATGGCTATTTACAATTTGGAGTGTGTGATCATATGCAGGTTGAAATAGGTGATCACTTTTAAATAAACATTCTTGCTTTTAGAGATTCCTGAGCTTGTGGGAATGCTATATTTCACTTTAATATGGCCTCTGCTATTTAAAATCATAAATCATGCCATTACACATGATAACATTCAATATTAATAGGATTGCTGACTGGTTCTTTATATTAGGTCACCAAATCCCACCCCTACTGACTCCCTCCTTCTTAGCAAATGTCTTGCCTCTAATTTTGTAAAGGGCAGGAAGGTTTCTCATCTTCTTGCCCCTTACTCTCCTTCGTCCTGCTAGCTTAGTATCTATCCTCATTGGTGTCCATTCCCCCTCCTGTTTTAGTGAAAACAATGCCCCTCTTTTCAATCAAAGCAAATCCCCTAAACATATATGCTCTAGATTCCTATGCCTCCTCTCTTTCATTTACATTATTTATCTGATCTTCTTTGTTATCTCCATCACCTCAATTTAAGTCTCTCTTCTCCCAAGACCAGTAAATAATCCTTGTTTCATTTGTTTTACCCTCTCTTTTCAACCCATCTCTTCTTTTCCCCTCTAAGTCAAGCTTCTTAATGATGCCTTATTTCATAATCTCTCATCCCCTCTCCTCATTCTCCAAATTCACACTACAGTTTTGTTTCCGTTTCCCTTGATCTTTTATTTGCCAAATTCAAAGGACATTTGTGATGCCTTGAGGAAGAACAACACTGGCCATCCTCCCGCTGAAACCCCTCCTTCCTTGTTTCTCAGCAGAACATTTCCCATTTCCTCACTGCCTCTTAAATCTCCTATCTTTGCCTGGGGTCTTTTTTTCACCTGTTCCTTAGATTGAGATCCAAATTTCCTATCTTCAGAAAAAGTATGTTTTGGAGTTGGGTAAGCCTGAATTAAAATTGTAGCCTTGACACTCACTAGCTATATAAATTGTACAACTTGCTTTATCTTTCTAAGTCTCAATGGTCACATTGGTAAAATTGGGATAACACTCAACAGAATAACATAAATGTTGTCAAGATAAAGTGACTTAATACAGTCTTACAATAAATGGTCCTATAAAGTTGTTCAGTCATTGTTACTTCATTTACAAAGTAGTCTAGTAAAATAAGTAGAATTTACTAATTGGATTCAGATGGATCTGGAATCCTACTTCTTGGAAAGTGTGATATTTGACAAATTATAACACTTCGTCTCCTTAAGTTTCCACTTCCCTGGACTGTACATTGAATGTAAGGTTGATGGCAGAATTAAGTGAAATAACACATGGGGAAGCAGAAAGAGCACTGGGCATCTGAGGAAGCAGGAAAAATGCTAATTCTTTGCTTTTCCTTTCTCTGTTTTCCCTACGTGCTCACCCTTAACATTCTCGTTACATTGCCTTGACTATTACAGGATATCATTTCTTGGTCAGTACAGAGTTTCAGTGAAATGGGTGACAGCCTATCACCCAAATGGTCAGTTGATATATTTTATTCTGCCTTCATTATAAATATAGGAAGCAATTGCATCAAGGCAGAATCAGAAGGTAGGTACTCATGTAGGAAAGGTTTTTATCAGCCTCAACTTAGGAGAAAAATGAAGGGCAAAGGCCAATATGGCTTTCAGTTAATATTCTCAAATGAGAATTGGAGAATGCTGTTAAGAATCATTAGCATAAGAAATGTGTTTGATTTTTTTAAACTTGTTAAATTCATTGCAATTTGATTTTTATGCCTGTGTTTCTTAACATGTACCAAAAATGTTTGCAAATTCTTGTTCAAAAAAGAAGACCTCTTCTATATATTTTCATGAGCAGAAATAAGAGATAAGTGGCAAAGTCCAATTTTAGAGGAAATCAAGCTCTAAAGAGAAAGAATTAGTAATGGTTTCTATATAAGGAAAAAAAGAAATTAAGAAAACCAACTGTAATGAGTTGAACTATGTCCCCAAAAACAATATATCCAAGTTCTAACTTCCAGTATCTGTGGTCTGCATGTAACCTTATTTGAAAATAGAGTATTTGAAGATATAATTAAGTTAAAAATCTTGAAGTGAGATTACCCTAAATTCAATGACTGCTATGCTACTAAGAGAAAGTGGGGAGAAGGGAGAGAGCCAGGTGAGTATAGGAACAAAACTGAGGCTAAGCAAAGCCTGCCAAGGACTGCCAGCAGTAGTAGGATCACATGAGAGGCACAGAACAGGTTCTCCCTGCGAGCCTCTGAAAGTGACCAACTTTGGCAACACCTGGACTTGGGGCTTCTATCTCCCTGAATAGAGAGAATGTTTCTGTTTTAGACAGTTCATGGCCATTTGTTGTGGCAACCTTAGGAAGCCAACATGTCATCTTGGCCTTAAATGTGTCCCTCTGGGTTGGCAGGCAATCCCAAGTACTATAAAATAATGATTGCCTACCTCAAGGCCTTTCCTATTCCAGACACACATCTGTTTCCTAAGCTTCTGTGTTTGAATATCCCCATGAAGATGTGAAATGTAGCACATCTCCTCAGAATTCATCTTCCAATGCCGCAGTA